GAAGAGAAGCGACACTGGACTCCCTGGTCAGGGTCCCCTCGGCCCAAATGGGTGCTTGGGGATTTTTTTTTGTTTTCTCCCCCGCCATCCCTCCAGCAAAAACACGCGGGAACATCCCCGCAACGCGTCCCGGTGCCCTACAAAACCCCAAACGCGGTGCGAGCCACCGGTGCGGCTCCCGGGTGGGTTTGGCAAGCGCTGCCTCCGTGCACAGCTGTTAATTATCCCCGCTTTAAATCACTTTATTGTCCTGGTGCCGCTCGTTTGCATCCCAGCTCAAATCCTAAGGGGAAGTTTCCTTAATATGGAATTAACCCTCCCCACCCCCGGCTTCCCAGGGCCCTCGTTGCTTTTGGCCTGGCAGGAGGGAACGGCAATGGGGAAGTGAAAAGGAGAAGGAAAAGCATTGACTGAACGGCTTAATTACCCTCTGGTCATTAATTAACCACATCACCACCTCTGCCCCAGTGTTACAGCCCCCCCCCGGCTCCAACCAACGCGCTTTGTCCTTTAAAAGGGAAAAATTTGGCCTTTTTCAAACATATTTTTTCAGCCGGAAGAGCTATAATCAAGGGTAGTTCCAAGTTTATTTAGGTTTGAAATTTTTCTCTGTTTAAGAAGAAGAGAGAGAAACAGCATTTTTATAGGAGCTATAAAAAACAGAATTAATTACCCTCTGGTCATTAATTAACCACATTGCCACCTCTGCCCCAGTGTTACAGCCCCCCCGGCTCCAACCAAAGCGCTTTGTCCTTTAAAAGGGAAAATTTTGGCCTTTTTGGGGTGTGATCTCGCAGGATTTGGGGGTTTTTCCCCCGTTTCCAGGAAAAAAGCGAAGCTGAGTGCCGCTGCCTCCGGACCGAGCTCGAGTGGCTGCGCCGTTCCCGGCAGAGGAGCGGGCGGTGCTGGGGCAGCTGGACGCCGCCTTCGAAGCCGCCCAGCTGGAAAAATTCCTCACGGGCGGCCGAGGGGATCGCGCGGCTCCGTGGACAGCTGGAGGCCGAGCGCTCGCCCCAGGGGAGACCCCTCCTCACCCCAAAGCTGCCCCTGAGGTGCTGCCCGCGGGGTCCTGAACCCGATATTTTGGTGCTGGGGAGGGGGGAGATGCAAAACGCAGCTGGGAACGGGCAACTTTCCCAGCGCAGAGGACGAGGGTGAGGCAGGGGCGGGTTTTGTCTTTTTTCCCTGCTGCCAAATCAG